AACCAACCCTCCAAGAAATATTGAAAGGGGTCCTCTAAGCAAAGAGAGAGCCTAAAAGCAGCATAGATCAGAAAAGAACACAGACAATATACAGTAACAGTCACCTACAGGTAATACAATGGCACTAAATTCATACCTTTCAATAGTTACCCTGAATGTAAATGGGCTAAATGCCCCAATCAAAAGACACAGCTATCAGATTGGATTAAAAAACAAGACCCATCTATATGCTGTCTGCAAGAGACTCATTTTAGACCCAAAGACACCCCCAGATTGAAAGTGAGGGGGCGGAAAACCATTTACCATGCTAATGGACACCAAAAGAAAGCTGGGGTGGCAATCCTTATATCAGACAACTTCGATTTTAAACCCAAGACTGTAATAAGAGATGAGGAAGGACACTATATCCTACTTAAAGGGTCTATCCAACAAGAAGATCTAACAATTGTAAATATCTATGCCCCTAACATGGGAGCAGCCAATTATATAAGGCAATTAATAACAAAAGTGAAGAAACACATTGACAACAATACAATAATAGTGAGGGACTTTAACATCCCCCTGACTGAAATGGACAGATCATCTAAGCAAAAGATCAACAAGGAAATAAAGACTTTAAATGACACACTGGACCAAATGGACTTCACAGACATATTCAGAACATTCCATCCCAAAGCAATGGAATACACATTCTCCTCTAGTGCCCATGGAACATTCTCCAGAATTGATCACATCCTAGGTCACAAATCAGGTCTCAACCGGTACCAAAAGATTGGGATCATTCCCTGCATATTTTCAGACCACAATGCTTTGAAACTAGAACTCAATCACGAGAGGAAAGTCGGAAAGAACTCAAATACATGGAGGCTAAAGAGCATCCTACTAAAGAATGAATGGGTCAACCAGGAAATTAAAGAAGAATTAAAAAAATTCATGGAAACCAATGAAAATGAAAACAACTGTTCAAAATCTTTGGGATACAGCAAAGGTAGTCCTGAGAGGAAAGTATATAGCAATACAAGCCTTTCTCAAGAAACAAGAAAGGTCTCAAATATACAACCTAACCCTACACCTAAAGGAGCTGGAGAAAGAACAGCAAATAAAGCCTAAACCCAGCAGGAGAAGAGAAATCATAAAGATCAGAGCAGAAATCAATGAACTAGAAACCAAAAGAACAGTAGAACAGATCAACGAAACTAGGAGCTGGTTCTTTGAAAGAATTAACAAGATTGATAAACCCCTGGCCAGACTTATCAAAAGGAAAAGAGAAATGACCCAAATCAACAAAATCATGAATGAAAGAGGAGAGATCACAACCAACACCAAAGAAATACAAACAACTATAAGAACATATTATGAGCAACTCTATGCCAGCAAATTAGATAACCTGGAAGAAATGGGTGCATTCCTAGAGATGTACCAACTACCAAAATTGAACCAGGAAGAAATAGAAAACCTGAACAGACCTATAGCCACTAAGGAAATTGAAGCAGTCCTCAAAAATCTCCCAAGAAACAAAAGCCCAGGGCCAGATGGCTTCCCAGGGGAATTCTATCAGACAGTTAAAGAAGAATTAATACCTATTCTCCTGAAACTTCCAAAAAATAGAAATGGAAGGAAAACATCCAAACCCATTTAATGAGGCCAGCATTACCTTGATCCCAAAACCAGACTAAGACCCCATCAAAAAGGAGAATTACAGACCAACATCCTTGATGAACATGGATGCAAAAATTCTCACCAAAATACTAGCCAATAGGATCCAACAGTACATTAAAAGGATTATTCACCATGACCAAGTGGGATTTAGCTCTGGGCTGCAAGGCTGGTTCAACATCCGCAAATCAGTCAACGTGATACAATACATTAACACAAGAAAGAACAAGAACCATATGATCCTCTCAATAGATGCAGAAAAAGCATTTGACAAAGTACAACATCCTTTCTTGATCAAAACTCTTCAGAGTATAGGGATAGAGGGTACATACCTCAGTATCATAAAAGCCATCTGTGAAAAACGTACAGCGAATATCATTCTCAATGGGGAAAAGCTGAGAGCTTTTCCCCTAAGGTCAGGAACGCAGCAGGGATGTCCACTCTCACCACTGCTATTCAACATAGTATTAGAAGTCCTAGCCACAGCAATCAGACAACAAAAAGAAATCAAAGGCATCCAAATCGGCAAAGAGGAAGTCAAACTCTCACTCTTTGCAGGTGATATGATACTGTATGTGGAAAACCCAAAAGACTCCACCCCAAAACTGCTAGAACTCATCCAGGAATTCAGTAAAGTAGCAGGATATAAAATCAATGCACAGAAATCAGTGGCATTCCTATACACCAACAAGACAGAAGAGAGACAAATCAAGGAGCCGATCCCATTTACAATTGCACCCAAAACCATAAGATACCTAGGAATAAATTTAACCAAAGAGGCAAGGGATCTGTACTCAGAAAACTAAACTATAAAATACTCATGAAAGAAATTGAAGAAGACACAGAGAAATGGAAAATCGTTCCATGCTCATGGATTGGGAGAACAAACATTGTGAAGATGTCAATGGTACCTAGAGCAGTCTACACATTCAATGCAATCCCCATCAAAATACCATCCACCTTTTTCAAAGAAATGGAACAGATCATCCTAAAATTTGTATGGAACCAGAAGAGACCCCGAATAGCCAGAGGAATATTGAAAAGGAAAAGCAAAGCTGGCGGCATCACAATTCCGGACTTCCAGCTCTATTACAAAGCTGTCATCATCAAGACAGTATGGTACTGGCACAAGAACAGACACATAGATCAATGGAACAGAATCGAGAGCCCAGAAATGGTCCCTCAACTCTATGGTCAACTTATCTTTGACAAAGCAGGAAAGAATGTCCAATGGCAAAAAGACAGTCTCTTCAACAAATGGTGTTGGGAAAATTGGACAGCCACATGCAGAAGAATGAAACTGGACCATTTCCTTACACCACACACAAAAATAGACTCCAAATGGTTGAAAGACCTCAACGTGAGACAGGAGTCCATCAAAATCCTAAAGGAGAACACAGGCAACAACCTCTTCGACCTCAGCCGCAGCAGCTTCTTCCTAGAAACATTGCCAAAGGTAAGGGAAGCAAGGGCAAAAATGACCTATTGGGATTTCATCAAGATAAAAAGCTTTTGCCCAGTAAAAGAAACAGTCCACAAAACCAAAAGACAACCGACAGAATGGGAGAAAATATTTGCAAATGACATATCAGATTAAGGCTAGTATCCAAAATCTATAAAGAATTTATCAAACTCAACACCCAGAGAACAAAGAATCCAATCAAGAAATGGGCAGAAGACATGAACAGACATTTTTCCAAAGAAGACATCCAAATGGCCAAGAGACACATGAAAAAGTGCTCAACATCGCTCGGCATCAGGGAAATCCAAATCAAAACCTCAATGAGATACCACCTCACACCAGTCAGAATGGCTAAAATTAAGAAGTCAGGAAACGACAGATGTTGGCGGGGATGTGAAGAAAGGGGAACCCTCCTACACTGTTGGTGGGAATTCAAGCTGGTGCAACCACTCTGCAAAACAGTATGGAGGTTCCTCAAACAGTTGAAAATAGAGCTACCATATGATCCAGCAATTGCACTCCTGGGTATTTACCCCAAAGATACAAACGTAGGGATCCAAAGGGGTATGTGCACCCCAGTGTTTATAGCAGCAATGTCCACAATAGCCAAACTGTGGAAAGAGCCAAGATGTCCATCAACAGATGAATGGAAAAAGAAGTGGTATATATACACAATGGAATATTATGCAGCCATCAAAAGGAATGAGATCTTGCCATTTGCAACGACGTGGATGGAACTGGAGGGTGTTATGCTGAGTGAAATAAGTCAATCAGAGAAAGACATGTATCATAAGACCTCACTGATATGAGGAATTCTTAATGTCAGGACACAAACTGAGGGTTGCTGGAGTGGTGGGGGGGTGGGAGGGATGGGGTAGCTGGGTGATAGACATTGGGGAGGGTATGTGCTATGGTGAGCGCTGTGAATTGTGCAAGAGTGTTGAATCACAGATCTGTACTTCTGAAACAAATAATGCAACATATGTTAAGAAAAAGAAGAAGATAGCAGGAGGGGAAGAATGAAGGGGAGTAAGTCGGAGGGGGAGACGAACCATGAGAGACGATGGACTCTGAAAAACAAACTGAGGGTTCTAGAGGGGAGGAGGGTAGGAGGATGGGTTAGCCTGGTGATGGGTATTAAAGAGAGCACATTCTGCATGGAGCACTGGGTGATATGCACAAACAATGAATCATGGAACACTACATCAAAAACTAATGATGTAATATATGGTGATTAACATAACAATAAAAAATTAAAAAGATGGATTTTGTGGACATTTTTTTAAAGGGAAGAAATAGTAGTGTACATGTCATTATTGGCCATTCTTCTTTACAGTGTCCTAGGACCATGCGTCTTGGGAGTCCCAGTGTTCAATACAGAACAAACATTCTGTATTGAATAGGAAAATGGAAGCTAGAAATAAGCGTGGACAAACAGAGCAATAGGCATCCCACGACAGAATCTTTACGGAAGTTTTAAGTAGATAGCTTTTACCAGTGGTCTTTGTGAAAAATCATGTGTAAACACGAAAGGGGCTCAGATGTCAGGGACTCGTGTCTCCCACCTCTTCCAGCTGGTTAGCAAGAAAGAAAGCTGACAGCCACCAGCTCTCATTTCAACAAAGAAAGCACCAGGCTTATTTTCAGGTCCTGCTAAAAGTATTTATTAATAGAATATTGTACCAGAAATTGTTGCTGAATTATCAGAGTACATCTCTAGACCACTAAGAATATTGAAAAACCCCCCTCTTTTTTTATTCCAGTGTTTTAATGAGTTTAAAAGTACGGGGTTTGGGGAGTGGGTATTTGGGCTTTGGTCCTCTGTATTAGAGTAATAAGTCCTGCCATGCAGTTTTTTTTATTTGTTTTTATTTTTTCCTAGTGTTCTACGGAAACGAATTCGAGACGACAGAAAGGCTAACACGGCTCAGAAGGTGCAGCAGATGAAACAGAGGCTAAATGAGACTGAACGAAAAAGGAAAAGGTGGTTATATTGGCAACCTATTCTCACTAAGATGGGGTTTGTGTCATTCATTCTGGTGGGTGCTTTTGTTGGCTGGACACTGTTGTTTCAGCAGAATGTCCTATAAATAAACAGTTCTGCCCAGCGAGCTGCTGGTCTAGTAGCTGACAGTGTTGCGTTAGTCCCAGGGTTTGTCTGTTAGCAGATTCCTCGCACCCCAGAAACAGTGCGGTAGAATAGACACCAGCCAGATAAGTGATATGTTCAGTCTCCAGCCCAGCATCTCAGGGCACTGTCCCCAAACTGTAAACGGCTATCTGAAATAAAAACTTGAATGCTTGTTGAAAACTGGTACATTTTGCAACTGTATTCATACATGTTAAGCGTACTATTTCACCTGACCAGATTGAGAAATCCTTTACCATAAGGACTGGTTTTTGGAGGCCAACTGGATTTTAACCTGCACTTGATACAAGCAATAAATATTGTGGTTTTATCTACATTATTACTGGAAAGAAAATGACCTTTAAATAATGCGTGTAATGTATAATGTACTGTTGACATGGACATCGACATTTTATATTCTTAGCCATTTCAGGGTAAATATATTTTATAAGTATTTAATCTTACTTTTGTAGTTAAATGTACTTTTTAAAAACTCAATTTGAAAAATCTGTTACCATAAAAAAATAAATTGTATGTTCATTCAATTGTACTGAATACATTTTCCTAAAGAGAAGTTTGATACGAGCAGTTAGAACTAACTCTGAATAAGCAATTTTTACTATATATTTGCATTTCTTTTATGTTTTACAGTTTTCCCAATTTTAAAAAGAAAAAAATTTTCCCTAAAAATATCTTTGAAGGAAAATTCTCCTTACTGGCATAGTCAGGTAACATTTGGTCAAGACTTTGTGTAAAGAAATTGGTTTCTGTAAAGCCCATGATGAATACTGTTTTAATTTTCATGAAAATTTCAGTGTAATTACCCTAATTTATAATTGGGATAAATCGTGACTTAGGAAATAAAAATAAGGAGCAGCATTTTATTATCCATGATTTCAGTTTACTAGACTGAAGTTTTGAAGTAAAATTTTTTTCAAGTTCTTTCTACTTCAATAAATAGTATGATGATATACAAACCTGACCTTGTCCCTTTAACTTCTTAATGGGTATTTTTAAAACATATTGTTTGATGAACTTAACTGCTCATTTGAGTGCAGTTCTTCTTCAGATCCCAACATTCCATTCAGTGTTTGACTTATTTAACTTAAACTTTAAATAGTTGTTATAAATTTAATTGCTGATAGAATAAAATCACCTTATTTCAGTGGTTTTCAGGCTATGCTCATGGATTTCTGAGGGGTCTCTGAGAGGTGGTTGGAAGGACTCCAAGCTACCAGTCTTTACTTTCAGCCAGACCATCTCTGCTTTATCTACCTTATATACTTCGTGTCATCTCTGTCTGAGGTGTCATTATTTGAAGGGGACAGTTAAAATTTTTAAAAAACAGTTTGAAAACCATTTGCATAGATAGGTATTTTGAATTGATTTGAGTAGCCTTCTTAAATGTGTTAAATTATGCTGAAAGTCTGAAAGCAGGATGTAGGTGGTACTACATATTAAATCAGATTTGCGTAACTTGTGCCTGTGTCCTAATTCAGTATTACTGTGTCCTGTAACCTTTAAATGGAGAGGAGGTAAGAGGGACTTTTTTTTCCCCCTAATGTCTGTCTGCATTAAACCTGTGTTCAGGTACCAGGACCCGTCTTAATTGGTTTCAAACCTTTCTAATTCGCCTTGGTTTATATTTGCTAAAACACAGTATATTACTCTACAAGTCAAATATGGATAGATCATACTAAATTTCCAATTGAAGATAGCCTTGCCTTAAACAAAAAGGTAAAAGAGTTCTTAAAGGAAACAAATGCTGGTTAATGATGCACATTGCCCCTTTGCAGGGTGAATGTGCTTCCCTGGATTCAGGATTTTAGCTTTGCTTTTTGTCTGCTTTCTGTCCTTCAAGTGGTGTTTGTTGTAATATATCTTAACAGTTACATTCAGTAAAGTAAACATTTGTTGATAAACTTCTGCAAGGGTTATTCATCTTTCCTCCTTTCAAACAGATCCTGAAGGATAGTGTGTTAAGTTTTTACCAGTAATAGTATTTTTGGTGGGTTCCATATACTGATTATTAAAAATACATGGCAATGTGCTGTGGTGCCCAGGGTCATCATCCTGAGCCTTTGTTAAATGAGGTGTGCTAGTCAGAGGGAAGGAACAGACAAGGGCTCCTGCCTTCTCAGGTAACAGCCAGAGGACAGAGTTAGCAATCCACAATAGATTCTACATTTTACAAAATTAGTGTATCCTTAGGTCTTCCTAATATTTTCTAAACATAACAGATTTTAAAAGTCAATTGTGTAGTTTGATTTTAATGAGGTAGTAGTATTTTTTGAATAGGTTAAGGAAGAAAAGATTTTTTAAAAAGCCAGAGGCTTTATTAAGAAAAGGTATTTATATTAATACATAGTGTATTCGTGTTCATCTCCGTCTCTACTGATAAACTGACAGCAGTCTTTGATTTAATGCCATCTTCTCTGGTTATGGTTGTGTATTTGTCTCCACGTTTAGCTAAGTATTTTATGCTGGGCTATTAGCAGTTTTTATCTATGTTTGCATATATATAACATGTACAAATGTAATTCTCCGTTTTTCAGTTTATCCATATATAAAATAAAAATAATACCTTTTCTTGAATTCTTACAAGTTAAAAAAAAGTAATGTGTAAAAGTGTATAGAGAACTTTAGAACAATATAAAGACCATTCCTCATGTTTAGGGGTATTTTATATATGTGCTCTGTCCTTTTCTTATTCTATCTTCAAATTAATACTGACTGTATTAATATTTCTACCAAGAAATGAACAAGAGAAAGGAAATAAAGTGTTTTTTTTTTAATAGCTCTGCTTAACAGGTATGTCATAAGAAGAACTGTAACTCTTAATTTTATGTATACTTGTGCTTGTCCCCTTCATTTTAAATAAACTAGAATTGATGGTATGAATCAAAAAAATACGTATTGGTTTGAAAAGTAGTTTATGATACGGAGCAGTCCTCTGCTTTTTATATCAAGTCCTTTGCTTTCAGAGTGGTGGTTGCTACCATTTATTGATCATTTACTATGTGCTAGGCACTGTGCTAATAAGCATTTTCATAGATTATCCTATTTAATCTTTACAACAAGCTTTCGAGGTAGGTGTTGTTATTATTAAGCCATAATCAGCCTGAGACTGGACATTTCTACATTGTTTTATGCTGCTATCATTGAAAAGTCTCCTGTATGTAATATATTTTAGAATTAGATTATTCTCAAAGAAAGACTTAACCCTCTGCAAGTCATTTCCCTCTTAGAAAAATACATCTGACTAGATTCTGTGTAAATAGACACAGGCCAGAACCTGATTTAGAAATACTGTCATTAACCTTTGTGTACTCTATTTCAACAAGTACCTACATCTCCAAAGTGCCTGCCTGATTATTGTACAGATTTTAAAATCTAGTCTGCCTTAATTTTCACTTTCAGACACAATTTACAGAGGTTTTATTTTAATGTAGTCCATTATAAGCCTAATGCCATTATGTATATCATCCACTTCTTCCTGCGTTCAGGCAGAAGTCTAGGAATCACACCTTCTGTCAACATCGATTTATTTTTTTGTGCAGAGGTGCACATGGGTTTGTTGGGGGGGGTGGAGAGTAAGGAACAAGGGTGTGAGTCTCCAAATCTGCTGCACCCCAGGGCGGGGGAAACTGAGGTCAGATTTGGTGCAATGATCCTGGCCTGAAACTAAGTGCGTTTGCTCTGTGTTCTTATTTCTACGTCAGTAGCTAATTAAATCTCTCTTACTTTAAGAAACCTTTAATTTGGCCTTGACTTATTTAGAGGATAGGGGCACAAAATCTTACAAATATAATTTGGAAGGTAATATTCTTCCACATGACAAAACTAAGTTCTCCTGACTTAATATGCAGGTCTTGGTCATTCCCTGAATGGTTTATTCTGGAGTTGACCTGTTTCTTTGATCTTTTTCCCTAGTTCATTTGTTTGGATTTGATTCCATTTTTTTCTTATATTTATTTTCAAAGCAATATTTATAGGACAATATCACCAACAGCCCCTACAAGAGTGAATGACTATTTTAGAACTTCCAGTTCTCTCTCATTTCATCAGATATGTTACATATAAGTGATGACATGCCTTCGTGGGAAGAAACTCGGGTTGTGTAAGCTGCACAGCACCTGCCCTGCCCAGCAATCCCCAGTCCAGAAACTGCACACCTGAGGCTATATTCCATGTACTCACCATAATATAGCCATTTCATTGTTCATCCAGATTTGACAATGTAATTTAGGAATTTTAAGCTACTCACTTTCTTGGGTAGTCTTTGAAAGAAGACTTCTAGGAAAATGGTATGAGTTTGGCCATCTCATTTTTCCCTTACCCACAGGAATTTTCTCAATATTTACCACATTCAGATTGCTCCAAGAACAGCCAATTCTGCACAAGTGCTTTTCCTCAACACTCTTCAGAGAAATGGTTATCTCCTTTGGCTACTAAATTCTGGAAACTTCTTGGGGAGAATTTTTTTCCTCACTGTCATTTATTCCATCACAGAGCATTGCTAAGTGGAAGCAGTGCATCAGACGAGAAGCTTTTACTTGGGTTGAAAGGCTTTGTCTTTATCGGTGACAACCTGACAATGAAAAAGTTTTAAAGAGCTCTGACCATCTCTGTGAAAGTCCCCTGGGAGAATGAAAAAAGTTCAGTCTTTTGAACTCTTCCTGTTTTGGTTTTATAATGTACAGTAGAATATGGAAATTACAGGATATAGTGGCGACCTTACTTATGGAGTCCAGTACTAATCTAGTTTTTCATTACATAGTGTATTTGGGGAGCTATAAGGAGAATTGCATGGGAATTCTTTTTCTTTATGGAGACCATTTTTTAAAGAAAAGCATCAATTCTTTATTGCTCTAATTTGACATAGATTTTATCAAAAAAACAAGTTATTTTGAGTTTGGTGAATTCAGGAGAGGGAAACTAGGTAAGTTTGTTTTGTCTATAAGGCAATGCCTTGCTCACCTTACAGAAGGTTTTGTGATTCTTTTCAGTAAAAAAAAAAAAAAAAAGTGTGACTATCTGGTGGCAAAGAATATTTTGGATGCAGTTTGACTTTCTATTACTTCAGGTATGGAGCCAGCTTGGGAAGATCATTCTCTGTCTGTAAACCTGGACCTGTTCCAGAATAAGGGCAGTGGGCAGTATGTGCAGGCTGCTGAGAAAGCAGCAAGCATGGCTAATTATTCCACTTTAGTTCTTTGAATGTTTTTATTTTGACTTGAACAAATGATTCAAGTGAACATATTTTTTCCTAAAATAAAGCCCATTTGTCTTCAGTCTTGCAAATAAATACATTCTTTAAAAACAGTTAACAGTCCCGGTGATTTTATGTTATTTTCTTATCCTCCAGAATAATATTTACAAAGAAAAAAGTGAATTTTTAAAAATGCTGTCAGGTTCTTTTAGTTGTT